GTTTATTTTAAGAATTTCACTTCAGGATATCGTAAGAAAGACAAATGACAATATTGAATCAGGATGATAAACAGCGATTCAGATAGGGAAAAGTGAGATTGTAAAAGGAAATGAGACCACGAAGAATGTTTAGGTTAACCGCATATTATATTATTATAATGATGATGATGCAACAATCAAAAATACTTTAAATACATTCCTCCTCTCCTCTTAATATATATACATATGATATAACATCCGTTCACGTCGTGTCAAATTTTTTACTTTTACATTTTTTTTAAATTGTTAAATTAATAAAAATAGACAACTCAAATTAACAATAAAAATAAAAAGATTTTCCCTGAAAAAAATGAGATACAAAAATAAACTAACCATTGCCCAAATTAGAAAGGCATAAACACAGCATACTTGATACAAAAATCATACAAAAATCTGAAATATACAGGAAATCGGCAATAGAATCATACCTTAAACTGAAATCCGACAAACCATATGAGCGAGTATGCTCACAGCATTCATGTTTTGCTGATCAGACAGCAAAATGTATTCAATCGTGAGAGAACAAAAAAAAAATGTAAAATGAAAGCACGTTGAACAATATACCAAAGGCTGCTCCAAGGAATCCATAAGAAGGGATGCAATTTCTATACATGATAGCTTATTCAAACCCACTCGGCAAACCCCATTACGATTGGCTTCATCTTGAAGTGGAAGTAGATGAATCAGTTTTACACTTGTGCACTCGAAAGATATCTCCACTGCCTCAGTCGAGGACCCTTGTCCAGAAGCATTAGCAACCCAACGTTGTTTGGTGACAATCCATACAGGTACCTATATAATTAGGGAGGAATATGAGCAAAAATGAACCCAACTCCGTAACAAACATTTCTCTAGGATATTATATGCTGATAAATTTCAATATCAATTTCTAATACACAATACAATAAAACAATTTATATGAGAATATACAAAATTATGTATCTAAGTGCATGTCCCTCCCTACGCTTGCATCTCTATTGTTTAATGGCCAAGTTCTAAAATGCAGCAAAATGGAATAACAAATTTGTTACTTTTAACCTAATAATGCTAGCCTTTAGATAAATTGAACATAGACAAAAATATGCCAGTTTTAAAACATAGGTAAGTCCAACAGTAACCATTTATATAACAGGTATCCTACTTACTTGCTTCGACGAGTTTTCCGCCTCCAGAAAGTAAAGGACAAAACCCACTGAAAGAAAATAAAATCAAAAGAAGATCAATTTTAAGTGGAAATATGATGTTAACACAGAACAGCTGTATTGATGGTGCTTCCAACAATGTTAGGAGCAACACTCAGATGAGGGGGTTCCAGGTTAGAATTCAAGAAAACAAGTGGAACAAAATTGATACTATTAAATTAGTAAACGAAGCAAACTTGTTCGTGAAAGCTTACTCCATTCAACTCCTATTGTGTCAAAACTTGGATAAACACTACATTAATACAAGTAAAAAGAGTAGAAGAATGAAACTTAAAAAAGGGTAAATTGAATAGTGTGTATAGGATACATATATGAGTACTAAAAAGGAGGGGCAGGCTTTTGATACAACAAAAGATGAAAGATGAGGTGCAAGAAATGACCTGCAGATGATATTCAACCAGATATTCTTCATGTAGCAAAGTAATTAAACATGTAACTCATTTCTGCATAGCCTAACTTATAGGTAGGTAGTTTTAATGTAAATTAATTTTGGAAAGATTCAATACATCTTGAAAAACAACTTTAGGATAATATATTACAGCTATTTCAACAGTCGTATAGAACACTACAAATTAAGAAACAGCTAACATGGAGAGCAGTTAGTAAAAAACCAAAGTAAATCATACAGTTTCAAGAATAAGACATTGTGACGTTGAGTAGTCCAAAATTTACAGACATGAGAAGGTCAATAATAGAACTAGATGGTGTAAAATACATACAAAAAAGAACTTTTTGTTCAAACAAAGATTACCTTGAAGAATGACATGAATGGAAGGTTTTCAAGAATAGATGGCTTCCTTAAAGTCACTTGTCTTTCAGGTGACATTTCCTTGCACAAATGTTGAGCTATTTCTTTCAATAATACCAACTGCGCTTTTTCAGTTCGCATCGATATTATTGCTTGTCTCATTGATTCCCTATCAGCCTCAAGGGCCTGAAGCCTTGCGTAAAGCTTCTTGATATCAGGATCACAAACATCAGGCAGATCAAGTGTACCCCTAGGAGTGTATCCATAATCATCACGATCTCCAACTCCAGGTTTAGGCTTGGAGGGTCCCTCATTTGGCACCCCAGTATGGATTGAATCAATCGTATAAACTCTGTCACTCATATCATCTCCAACTTCTGAAGCATTATCCATTCTTCTTGAGCTGGCAATCTTGTCCATTTCTGAAACGAACTCCATCTTCTTGAAGCTGGAATTAAAAGTGGGAGAATCACCGGTAAACTCTGAACTGATCTCTTTAGGCAGGAACAAGTTTAAACTATCACCTGAAAGCCCCCTTGAATGACTTGGTCGCCTAGGAGAGTGACCAACTATTACCTTATCTGAAACATTCTTTGTTCCTGGGAAACATCCATCCTGTTGACTCAGCTGACTGCTGCTCAGATTCCTCTCCAATTGGCAGATCCTTTGTTCCAGATCTCTTAAGTGTTCTCGGGGGGGCTCACCAAATGCATATTTCTCAATATCTTCAACATCATCAGCAGGATTCTCGTTTAAATTGCACTTTGGAGGCGGATAATCATATGGAAGATCAACTGAGCCATCAAAGTTCTCAGCCATGTTTTGAATCTGCCAATCCTGCTCACCTTCGACCTCTTCCTCTGTAAGCCCGTAACTCAACATCCTATGCTTGTAAGCCTCAGCTTCACATGTAAGAGCTTGAATAGTCTGCTCTCTCTTATACAACAGATCCTCCAATAACATTATCTCCTGCTGATCATGCACCATTTTCTCCTCAGCATAAGTCTTGAATTGCCGAGCCTCCATTTGGATCTCCGACTTATCTCTCTGCAACTTCAATATCATTGACATGGCCTCAGTAGCAGCCGATGATGAGGCATTTCTCTCTTCCTCCAATTCTCTGTTCAAATCATTTATCGTGGCCTGTTGGCTGCTAACCATCTCCCGTAACGCAGCACACTCATTCTCAACTTGGACTTTGGCATTGAAGTTAAGATCCAAGCCCGGAACATAAAACTGTTTGTTGTCTCAAACTCATCGTATTTTCGTTTCACAGACCGAAACCAAGTACTCAAATGTTCACCGATCAAAGAACAGGTAGCAAAATCACAATCACAACATTTCACCGGATCTCTTGGAACTGACGGTGAATAAACTTCTGACTCCATATATTTATATATGGATTCAAACTCAAGCAAACTAATTAATGACTGACAATTAATTACCAAAAAAAGAATCTAAAGAAAGTATAAGAACTTATTAAGTTCTATCTTGAATCTCGGATCCTCCAATGAATATTTCCCCTCCCTTTTTTTACTCCACTCAACAGCTACATAAATTCCTCCTGGATAAACCAATCACAAAGAAAAGTAGCTGAAAAAAAGTAATGAAAGATATGCAACTAAAAAGTTCCTTTTTAGGCATAAATTTTCCAGGAATCCTTATAAAATTACTAAGAAGATATAAATGATGCGATAATTCTCAGTTAACATTCAAAGGCTAAAAAATTCTCCAGAAAATCTAATTCAAGATTTTTTTTAATGAAACATAGAGATAAATGAAGAACAGGAAGAGAGAGAGAGAGAGAGAGAGAGAGAGAGAGAAACCAACCGTGGAAGCTTGAGAATGAGATGGAGCGAGCTGGAAAAAGGAAGTAAATTTTCCCGGGAAAATAAACCACTAGAGAAGAATAGTCAAACCCTTTGTTATTTCTAATTCTATCAAACTTCTTCTCCGAAAGAAAATCAATCGCCTGACACCAAGCCCAATAGGGAAAAAATTGTTTCCCAAGCGAAAACCAGTAATCATTGCAATTCTGTTTGGGAGGAAGGAAAATTAGGAGGGAAAATGAAAAAAAAAAAAGAAAAAGAAATATCAGAAAGTGGAAAACCCTAACTTTGTTCTTTTTCGGTGTTTGTCTGTTTAGTTGGTGGGGAAGTGCTTTTTTTCTTTCTTTCTTTTTTCTTAAGGATTCTTGATTTTCGTGTGCAGCGTAAACGATTTTATTTATTTATTTTAATGAGCTTCGATTCCGTGCGGAACTGCTTATAATTAGATGGTTAGATGCTATGCGAACTTTGGTTTCTCCGAAATTGTGGGGGAAATTAAGCATCAATGATTAACTTATTATTAGTGCAAAAAGTTGTACTTAACCACTACTTAAGTACATTTTGTTTTGCTATAACAGTCTCTTTTTTTAACAATTTTAATCTGGAAAAAGGAGAAGGAAAATTTTCTTCTAATAGATATTATGTTTTTTTGGTATAGAGTCTATGAAGTAATAATGATTGTGTTATAATTCATCCATAAAGTTCATCAAAACCAGTATGCAATTCATAAATAAAAAATGTTTAATGTGATGAAGTAATTGAATTATAAAAATTGAAAAATTAAGTGGTAAATTATCGTTTAGTAAATTACATAACATCACGTAGTAAATGTAAAATTAAGTGGCTAAATCATATTAAAGAAAGACCAAAAAAAAGTTTATAAATCTTAAAGGGTCAAACTGCAATTTTAAAAATGCTTTAGCAAATACATTAGCAAACAAAACATTAATGTAATTGCATGTTTAGGAAATATTATGTAATTGCAATTTTAAAAATCATTCATTTTAATAATATCTACTGATAAACTCCATTAAAACCATAAACCAACATGCCTACTTGGTAGCAAACAAAACATTAATGTAATTGCATGTTTGGGAAACAAAAAAGAAAAAAACATATAAAGCACTGATTAAAATAACCAAATTTCCTCACGGACAAGGTTTCATAATATCGTCCAATGCCTCAACGGTTGGCCTTTGCAACTCTCTCGATTTCATCCTTCTTCTTGATGGCATAGCTGCACAATCGAGTATATCATCAACATCAACAGCAACAGAGCTTTCAGTGATCCAAACTAATCGAGCAACAAAAAAGACATGAACTACTTTACCTGTTAGAAGAACCCTTTGCGGCATTAATAAGCTCATCAGCCAAACATTCTGCGATGGTTTTAATGTTTCTGAATGCAGATTCACGGGCACCAGTGGTCAAGAGGTAGATGGCCTGATTCACCCGACGGAGAGGAGAAATATCAACAGCCTGACGCCTGACAACACCAGCAGAACCGATACGAGTAGCATCTTCACGAGGTCCACTTTAAATCAATCAATTAGTAACGAAGCTTATTAAAGACTAGATATAATAAAGATTCTCTAAAATCAATGGAAGCATTAACTAAGCTTAAGGCTTCATATAGACTACCTGTTGATTATAGCATCAACAATGACTTGAATTGGGTTTTGATCAGTCAGGAGATAAATAATTTCCATGGCATGCTTAATAATCCTAGTTGCCATAAGTTTCTTCCCATTGTTCCGGCCGTGCATCATCAGTGAGTTTGTAAGCCTCTCAACAATTGGGCATTGAGCCTTTCGGAAACGCTTCACTGAGTACCTCCCAGCAGTGTGTGGCACATAGGTTGCGTGCTTGGAAGGTTGGACCCCAATGTAGTCACTCAAAGAGATATCGGTAACCTAAAATCAATATCCACTCAGGTCAGGGATCATGGCAACTAATAGTTACAATAATCAAAGGGAACAGCAAATTGAGGAACCAAATCCTTTCCAATCGAGAGTTCTAGTCAATAAAAATAATTCATGAATCACAAATCACAAACCTAAATCAGTTAACGACAATCCAAAAACCCTGACTCAAAAACCAGAACTCAATTCATACAGACACTTGAGTTACAATCAAACACTTCAAATCTTATCAAATCAATCTAAGCCAAAACACAAGCAAACTCAAATTATAGACAAATAACAGCTAAAGGAAACAATCATTTCATATTTCATCAAAATCAATGTGAAGCTAGAAATGTATAGAGAACATTCAAAACATAAATTCAACCCCCTTTTAAAATGATGAAACAATAACTGTTCTACACTAAATCCAGGCACCAAAAGGAATTTTGCAGATAGACTTACATAATAGTAACTAAAGTAGAAAGGCAATAAAATAACATAAAGCAAACGAGACATTTCACATAAGAAATCGAAACAGATCTATGCATATGGAGGCAAAAGGAAAGAAGGAAAAACCTGAACATCCTCAAATGACCAGCGATTAAAAAGCTTGACTTCGTTGGTGGGTTGAGTTGGGTCTCTGGGTACATCGGTGGCTGTCGCCATACCTGCCCAAATGACAATGGATTTTGAAGATATAGAGAACTAAAGTGAGTCTTAAGAGGAAATCGGAGTTAAAAAAAACTAAAAGATTTTGAACAAAAAAAACCTTTGTTTGGATGGTGGGAAAGAGCTGAAGTGGGAGCGGCAACCGAAAGCCGAAGTGTGCGTCTTTCAGTGGGAGCGATGTGGCAATAAAAGAGAACCCTAATCTAACAATTATATTATATATGGAGGAAATCCTCCGGATGCTAGGGTTTCTTTAGGGATCAAATAGGCATTGGATTTAGGGCTCTTGGTTGGTTTATTGCTATAATCCAGCCCAATTGGTAGTTTTATAGCCCAATGACTCGTTTTAATCTCTAATTGAGTGCCAAAGAGTAAGTAAATCATTTCGTTTAAAAAGAACTGCATCAAAGACAAATTAAAATGGTAATGATAAAATTACCAACTACCTATTTGCTTAATAAAATGAGATGTTAAGTTGTTCAAATTGTAACGCCTTAAATCTCGAATTAGTAGTTTTAGATTGGCCCAAATAGGCTTTGGATGTTATGTTAGGCTTCCATGAAAGATGGACCAAGTTTGAGCTTGGGTTGGTTAAGTTTTGAGCTCTTATAGACATAAAAATAATATTCTTGAATTGAGAACAAATGAGAAAGGATCTAGGAGGTAATAATCCCTTATTTGAAAAAAAAAGTTTGATTCTCATTCAATTCTTATTATGCCAACAAGAGAAAGGTTGATTTACTTTCCTCATTTTCTTCACCATTTGTCTTTTTCTTCTCCTCCATATCTTCTCTTTCTCTCCTTAGTGAGTGACTAAATGTGAAAACTTTATTGTCATATAATTCTAGACTGCATTTGTGAAGGTAAGAACTACAGTCTCCACCCCTAAAGCTTTCTTTTAAGCTCATTATCTTAAGGTTTGGCTATGCTAATCAAGGTGGGGTTTTAGGGGGCTTTAGGTATTAGGGTTCTAGAATGTTTCTAGTCCATTTATAGAGTGTAAGAATCATGTTTCTATTCCGTTTAAGTTTTAGATGAGTTAGTAATTCATTTTTTCCATGTGATCAGTAAAAAAAAGTTGGAAAAAAAACTCTGAAGGCAAGAATAAGGAGAAACTTGTGCTTGGGTGACCTTAAGATGCTTTTCAACAACTAGGGTCAAGGTAACACATTTCTAGCTCTTCTATAACGTTTGTAAATCACTAGGTGTAAATTGATTATTTGTATGAGTGCATGGGACATAATGAGTATATTTGTGTTTATGAAGGAAATGAGATGTTTTGACGTTACTCATACATGAAATTGACATATTATTATCCCTTAAACTCCCAAAAGCTTTAAATAACTTTTTAGAGAAAAACGTGACTTTTAAAGGACAACATGGACTGCCACATTACTGTGGATTTGTAACATCCCAAACATCGGGTTGGTGACAAAAAAGGAAAAAAGAAAAGTTAGTAGTTAAATTGTATTAAGTTGAAAAGTATAAGGATTAATTTTGGAAATTATATTCAGGGTTTTTAGCAAAGATGGAAGACTTGGAGGGCAAAGAAGTCTTTTTGATGGAATAAAAATCCTTTTTGGGAGAGATATTTAACATGAGTTATTGGATAAAAAGGCTTCTGGAAGCTTATATTCTCTTCTTCTTTCTCTTCCCGTTATCTCCATCAAAGGTATGTTCTTTTAAGAGTTGATGGGTTCTTCAATATTTGGGTTGTTAATGAAAGCTTGGGTATTATATATCGTTAAGGAAGGTTTATAGAGGTGTATAACAACAAGATAAGTGAATTTGAAAGGATTTTATAAAATGAGTTTTGAAATGAAATTTTGATATAGAGTAGTTTTTGAAGTTTTGTTGAGATATTTGACTTGTCATTGAGCTAATTAAAGGTTTAGAAGTATTAAAATGATTAAGAACTTGGTTGAAAACATGGCATGATTCTTTAATGTAAGTGTTTTAGTGAGAATTTGGTATGTTAGGAGTAGTAATTGATGACAAGTTGGTTTGAATGAAAGAAGTTTAGTTTAAAGGCTTAAGGAATGATGATATAATAGATTTGAGAGGATTTGTGGGTGATTTTCGAAGTAAAAATGGAAATTTTAGGCTTCGAGTATCGGTACTGTTAGAACAGTACCGATACTTCGAGGGAAAAATCTGTGAAATTATTAAGGGTAATATCGATACCTATTGAAGAGGTATCGATACTATAAGGGTAGTATCGATAACTGAAGGATGTTATTGATACCTTTAAAACATTGAATGCCAGATTGGTGTCTGTACCTTGAGGAGGTATTGATACCCTTGAAACACCGAATGCCAAATTGGTATCGGTACTTTGAGGAGGTATTGATACCCTTGAAGAGAAGTATCGTTACTAGAGGGATAATACCGATACTTCTAGGCAGAAAATAGATAGTAAGAGTTTCTTGCATACCAAGTTATGCTGATTTGATATAATTGAGTTGAAGAACGATATTAATTTTCGATTGTTTTGTGTAGTGATTGAACGTAATCAACTTCCTGTCAGCTTGACATATTAATTATCGATTCGAAAGGGTTAAAGATTTGGATTAGACTTCAGTGAGGGAAAGATGAGTGCCACTTCTTATTTTTTCAATAGAATTGAGGAAGGCTTGCGATAAGCCAACCTCAATATTTTCTATCGAAAACGTTATAATTTATTTTATGTTATCTTTAAATGTTTTATTCAAGTTATATTATACAATCTATGTCTTATGATTATATGAATATGGATATATGAATTGTGAATAAGTGAATATGAACAGACTCTATGAGAGAGAAACTATGTGAATAAGAAACACTTCAAATAATGATTGAACATAATTATGTGATTAATAGCCCAAAGTATATGTATGAGGATTAGAGGTATAGTTGGCATGGTTTTATGTGGTCATTCGAGACAATTACGTGATCCTTTGGGATAAATATGTGGCACTTCGGTGCAACCCTATGTGGCACTTCAGTACAAACTATGTGGTCCTTTGGGACAATTATGTGGCACTTTGGTGCAAATTACGAGCTGTGGTGATAGCGTTAATGCGCAACCTCAATATATTCAAATACCTAGCGTTTTCAATAGTATACCTTGGGCAATTGGAACAAAGATTTACAAAGTGAACTATTCCTAAGTATACTTGAATACGAAAATTAATGAAAGCTCTTTGTAAAACATTTTGAATAAAACAAATAAGATTTTGTTTACTAAGTTAGCACTATTAGTATTGCCTCACTAAGTCATCGACTTAGCGTGTGATTTTCTCACGCGTAGGTTTGAAGAGAGAAGAAGACTGAGTTCGAGGATATCATATTACTTGAAGATCAGAACATGACAAGTTAAATATAGGTGTTTTGTAATTTTTTAACTGTTGGCATGTATTAAGCGTTTAATTTATAAATGGTCTGATCGATTTTGTAAACTCCTACATTTTGGTATTTATGTAAATTATTAAGATTTTTATGTACAAATGTATGTCCAATGATTATCTTATTAAATAGGTTTATGCTGTTTTATTTTGATATAAAATTTTAATTTTGTTCTTAATTGTGAATTGCATATGTTTTGAAAAGACAAAAGTGACACCTCATATTCATATCCGAGTCCGACACAGGTTAGGGCGTTACATTTAATGGTATCAGAGCTATTGTTTAAGCGGTTTTAAGTTCGAAACAAATTCGTTTTTGGTTTTAAAAAGTGTGCATGCCAATTTTTAATAAAGTTTTTCTGATATGTATGGGATCAATATGTTATTCTTGCTAATACCTTCAGTAAATTGATCTTAATAGATGTCGAACTTTGAACGCTCCCTAAGTGATGCGTGAGATAGGATGGAGGAGAGTATAACTCACCTGCCCCGAGCAGTCAGAGAGGACAAGCACAGCCTGGAGTACCTGTGCAAGATTAGGGAACTTTCTTCCAGACGTTAGACGCGATCATGACATGTTTCCAATCGTTTGCCTCCTCAGACCCTAAGATGAATGTCCCTAAAGAATTGAAAAGTTTAGGAACACCTAAATTTAGAGGAGAAGCTGAAGAAGGTCCGGTTACTGCCGATATGTGGCTCAATGATCTGAAAGTTATGCTAGAGAATCTCTATTGTTCTGAAATAGAGAAATTGGATGGTACAATCTCGTTATTAAGAGGTTAAGCCAGAATTTGGTGGTCGAATGTGACGATGAGAGTTTTAAGAGATCAGGTGACTTGGTCTTTCTTCCTGGAGGAGTTAAGAACAAATACATAGGGGATTAGTTTATCAGGCAGATGAAGCAAAATTTATGAGTCTAAAACAAGGGAATCGTACAGTGTATGAGTTTGAGTATGAATTCAACAAATTAAGTCTATTTGCTGTCGATTTAGTTACTACAGAGAATGACTCTTGTGACTGGTTTGTGGAAGGGTTACGACCCCGATTGAAATAATTATTATTGGCACTTAACCTCTCTTCCTACCAAGAGGTAGTGAACTGAGATAAAGCATTGGAGCGAGCTCATAATGAAAGATTTGCGAAACAAAGGACACAATGGAATAAGAGATCGGGTGCTTCACTGGTTCTTCTCAATCAAAAAAGAGTAGAGGTTCGAGTTCTTGACCTCAGACCAGAACAAAATCTGCAGCATCCTTAGGTTGATGATCAAATCCGGGAAAAACAAGAAAAAAAAATCGGTGGAATCAGAGTGGACAAACCGAAAAATGTGAGCACTGTGAGAAGAACCATAATAGAGTTTACAGAAGGGTCTCCGGAGCTTGCTTTAAATGTGGAGAGGCAGGGCATTTTATTCGAGACTGTCCGATGATGACGGGAGAGCCTGCCAAACAGAGAGATCCATGGCTGCACCGATGAGAGGTAGAGGTTAGGGATGAGGAATGAATCAATATGAGTCGACTGCTCAACCTGAAGTATGATCCACCGCTCGGGTGTATAATTTGAAGACCAGTGAAGATTATGATAATCCTGAAATCATTACAGGTACTTTTCAGATAGCTGGTAAATCTGTTTTAGTTTTGATTGAACCGGGATCGAATTATTCATATGCCAATAGTAAACTAGTTAAATATTTGAACATTCCGTTAGAGCATATTCGTAGTGAGGTGATTGTAACGAATCCATTAATAAATAGTGCTCGAGTGAGACAGATTTGTTGAGGGTGTTCCATATGGATTCAG